ATCTCACCGTCATGTCTGACCTAATGTAATCTGTCTTAGGGCTGACAGTGAGTTTTATGTTTTTTGACATTGTTTTTTGCTAAGCCTTTAACAGCATATTCACTATCTGTGGTAAACTTTCAATCTAATTTCATCACTTATCTCAACAACCACAGAAGAAATGTTTTTCAAACTGTGGCAAACTTGACGATTTTATGGCTGCTTCAAAACAATAATTTAACATAAGTATAATAAGACAATAATTCTTAATATTTTAACTCACCCTTCAGTAAAATGTCAACAATTAAAAAACTGCAAACAAAATTTTTTTTCAGTGAAAATAAGTTGCCATCAAAAATACTATAAAACTGAATACAGAAAACTTCAGACAATGCATATTTTAATGCCATTGAAAATTTATTGTGATATCTGATACTTTACATTAATGTGAAAACAGACATGTGACATGGCTTTACTAATACAGAATGCAAAGCAATGAAGTCAAATAAAAAGCATATATATTTTTTTTTCAAAATTTAGGGAAAAAAACAAAACTAAAAATAAAACAGGCACAACGTAAGCCAATATAAATACAACATGCTCTAGACTTTAAACTGTGGTTTAACAGTCCTAAGAACTTTTCTCATGTTTACCGATGCTGCCCCTCCATCGAAATCCTTTTAGGTAAAAATTTCACTAAATTAACTAAGCTCAAAAAGAAAGTAGCCAGTGTCACAGTAAAACAAGTAGAGCTATATATATTTATATATAAATAAAAGTAAACTGTATTCAGCAGCACTTGTCTATCATTTTCATCCAGGCTGCTTTGATGCTGTAAGGTTCAGAGAAATCTACAGAAAGACAAGGTCACAGGTGACAGGATTTCTCTTCTCTGATTTTGGTTTAACTCCTTCCTGCCATCTTCACCACATGATACCAGTGCATTCCACAGAACCTTGGTACACACTGGTATGACACTGGCAACTGCTTTTTGGAGGTTTACTGTAATGTAGTCGGTTGCAGAACGAGAGCACAGGTTCTGTGGTTGTTGTCACAAGTGCCATGTTGGAGATCCTCTGGAGAAACTGGCTGTGTGTAAGAATCAAGACGGACAAGAGATTTGAGAGCCCATGGCCCGTGGTTCTGAAATGCTTTGATGCATTGACATTATCTGACATTTTACAAAGTGAATCTAGGTGTTTCTAAAGAGCTCGACTGAAGAAGGAACAGTCAGCTGCGTTAAGTACGGACTGCGTGAATACGTTTGCCGTCAATTAGTACATTGTTTCCCAAAGACTGGGTCGCAACCCCCATGTGGGTCGCAAGAGGTCTCGCACCGTGTTTCCCAGGAGTTTACCAACAATGTCTATTGACTTGGGTCGCGAAGGTTTGTTACTTTTAAAATATGGGTCCCCAGAAAACGTTTGGGAAACACTGAATTAGTGTAGGTGGGCCATGTTGGGTTTAGACTTGTCTGCTGGTCTTGGTTTTGGTTTGACTTGTATTTAGTCCAGGTCTAAATCATCAGTCAGAGTCTGACAAATTTAATAATTTTTGTCTTTTTTAGACTTTTACCTTTGTTGGGTGGTTAGCTGTATGCTTTTATAATCAGTTCAACTGTACGTGAATTAGTTTTATTGAAGACCACCGTAGGATTCTTAAAAGTTCAACAGTTTTGTTGGTACCATGTTCTGTGTTCTGGCAGTTATTTTCTGGGGACCCATATTTTAAGTCACAAACCTTCGCAACCCAAGTCATTAGACATTATTCGTAAACTCCTGGGAAACATGATGTGAGACGACCCACTTGCGACTCAGGGTCACGACCCAGTCTTTGGGAAACAGTGTTCTAGGGACCTGGACAAACCCGACAAAGACAAGTGTAATCATGTCCACATTCTTCCTTTGGCCCAGGCCTAGTTTTGAACTAATCTACATCGTCCAAATTAGCCGTTTATCCTATAAGCTACATCCCATTTCTGAGGCTCCGAGCTCTGAAAGATAAAGCGTTTTGAAGCTGAAGAGTCACAGTTGTCGCAAATTTAGATGAAAATATTTTCCTTTGCACCTTTACATCTTACACTGACAGAGAGTTTGATAGTTATATGTCATGAAATGTTGTGGGTTTACCAGCTACTGATGATGTTATACAGTGATGTTATTGTAAGTTCTCGTATTGACATGTTTAAGAAGTGATA